AAGGGTCTCGACCCGAAACGTCAACTTTCCTGCTCCTCTGATGCTGCCTGGCCTACTGTGCTCCTCCAGCTCCACGCTGTGTTACGTATGCTTTTTTGTTTTTCATCTCATCGACAATAATAAACTCAATAGACACTTGAACAGGAGAAACTTTTTGACAGCAAAATAACAGTGCTAGTTGAGAAGAGAATGAAATTACAGTAGCCACATGGTGCATATAGTGGCCATATACTACATTACATATTATGCATTGCATTGATGATTCACTGGTTGATTGTGGAATGTTCTTTAAAGTACAAAGCCTGGTAATTCATAGGTTTAATCTTTTTCATCCACCATTCTACATTTTTGTCATTTTTGTTTATGCCTTGAAATATTTTATTTGATTTAGTTTTATTGAAGTACATCAAGATTACCATTTTGATTGTGTTCTTGATGTGGGATCTGAAAGTTTATTTTTAAATGTGAATTACTGTGAGTGCAAATATGCTATGACATTTTAAATTTAAATGTTGTGGGTTGTGTGGCATGAGATGTTAGTGAATGCATTGCTCAAATCTGAAGCATGCTAGATTAATGACTATTCCTATTGAATATTTATTCCCGTTGAATGCAAATTAATAGTCACGGATCTCTTTGAAATTATATCGTCAGTTCTCATTATTTATTTCAAACAGTGAGAAGGCCCGAATCTAAATTATCAATTTAAAGTAATAAATGACTTCAAGATCTTTAGAATAATATTTTAAACTAAAACCCCTCTTTTTCATTTGGCTTTTGTGAAGCTAGTGCCCATCTATGTGACAACACAATAAAATCAGCACTGCAGTGCTTAATTAATTTTCAAAGCATACTTTATATGCTTCTGTTAAATCATAACAATTACTGAGTTACATGATTAATTTTTAAATGAATTTTAAGCAGGAGTATCTGACCAGTTTTAAGAATTTGCATGATTTAAATTATGCTAGTTTTTCAGAACTGTTGCATTGTGGTGTGTGTCTGAAAAGTAGCCCAGGCTCCTTGTTTTTTAAAAAGCCTGCACTTTCATTCTCACATTCACATTTACATATCAATATGACAAAGTCTTTGAAGAGAGTGTGAAGCTAGAACGTAGCTACACTGCAAATGGAGCCTGTTTTTCTTTCCTCCTTTTTGTACCTAAAACTTTCTCGCTTTTCTTTCCTGAAGGTGATATTCATTCTGAATTTAGTTTCTTGGCCATTAGACATCTGCATGGTTATTCTGTGTGCAAGTCTAGACAGTTCATGTTGGGAGGCTGTTCAGCTTTGGGATTAATTGTTTATATTGATACTGTCCTTACAAAAATGTTGACAGATGTAAGTTTCTAGGACGATTCTGGTCAAAAGGAAACATTTTCCCCCTTTTGCTAGGTGACTGGCACCGAGATCAATTGTAGCATTTGAACCAAACACACATTGCTGGAGATATTCAGGTCTAGCAAGATCTGTGCAGAGAGAAACAGAGGTAACGTTTCAAATCCAGTATGATTCTTGTTCTTCTGAAGAAGAAGAGTCATACTGGATTTGAAACATTAACTCTATTTCTCTCACAACAGAAACTATTAGTCCTGCTGAGTTTTTTTTCTGGAGTGCAGGTTCATAGCTCCTTGAAAGTAGAGTCACAGGTAGACAGGGTAGTGAAGAAGGTGTTTGGTACACTTGCCTTTCTTGGTCAGTGCATTGACTATGAGTTGGGAGGCCTTGTTGCAGCTGTACAGGACATTGGTTAGGCCACTTTTGTAATATTGTGTTTAATTCGTGTCTCCTTCCTATACGAATGATGTTGTTAAACTTGAAAGGGTTCAGAAAAGATTTACAAGGATATTGCCAGGGTTGGAGGGTTTCATTTATGGGGAGAGGTTGAATAGGCTGGGGCTATTTTCTCTGGACTGTTGGAGGATGAGGGGTGACCTTATAGAGGTTTATCAAATCATGAGAGGCATTAATAGAGTGAACAGTCAAGGTCTTTTTCCCAGGGTAGGAGAGTCCAAAGCTAGAGGTCATATATTTAAGGTGAGAGGGGAAAGATTTAGAGGGGAAAGGTTTAAAATGAATCTAAGGGGCAACATTTTCACGCAGAGGGTGGTGAGTGTATGGAATGAAATGCCAGAGGAGGTAGTGGAGGCTGGTACAATTACATTTAAAGGGCATCTGGATAGGTATATAAATAGGAAAGGTTTAGAGGGATATGGGCCAACTGCTGGCAAATGGAACTAGATTAATTTAGGATAGCTGATCGGCATAGATGATTTGGACCGAAGGGTAGTTTCCAAGTTGTACATCTCAATGATTCTATGACTCTGTGTTTGGTTCAGGTTTCCAGCATCCACATTATTTTGGTCTATATATATGTATATATATATGAACTGCTGTGCAGTTGGTTTGCCACAGACTTGGAGTTAAACCTGAGATATCTGGTTTAGTATTACCACCAGTTTGTGTATTTACTGACTAAACCACAGGAGAAGTGTAGACAAATGTACTTTTATCTATCTGTACATTCCAATTGCATTTTTTCCATTCCAGGCAGGCAGTGGGCCTATCAGTCATGTACAGAATTTGGCTATTATCAGTCAACTGAATCATCACTGCAGCCTTTTACTGGCTTTCCTCTCAGGTAAATTGATTTCTAGGTAATTTGTTGCTCAGAGTTTGTTTCAATTGATAATTTCCTGTCTAATGAGGAACATCAACACAATTATCCTGAGCTAAAGTACATTTAAAATATGACAAGGTCCACAGGAATGTAAGAATCACTTGTAAAATCTGACTTTCTTTGTGACAAATTTACAAAGCAGTAGCAGCAAATCATACTGCATCAGCAATAATAATCTTCACACTTCTCAAGCAAAGTAACAAGCCATATCACCGTCAAAAACATGCCCTGTGGATGGCACAACTGGAGAAGAAATAACCAAACTCTAAATGTGAAACAATTCATTTACTCTACAAGTAGTCGTGTGCATAAGCATAGTTTTACTAAGGAATGCATGTCTTCAAGCCAGCAGAGAAACTGCAAGCTATGACAATATTGTTTTATTCATTCAAGGAATATGGGTTTCACTGGCTAAGGCTCCATTTATTGCCCATCCCTAATTGTTCTGGAAAAGGTGGTGGTGAGCTGCCTCTTGAACCATCTGGTGTAGCTACACCCACAGTACTTTTAAGGATAGAGTTCTAGTCTTCTAGGACTCGGTGAAAATGGAAGATTCTGATATAGCTCCAAGTCAGGAGAGTGGCATTGGAGTGAACTTGCAGGTGGTGGAGTTCCCATGCATTTGCACAATTCTAGATGGTAGTGGCCATGGCTTTTGAAGGTGTTGTCTGTTGATCCTTGCTGAGTTTTTGCAGTGCTTCTTGTAGATTGTACATACTGCTGTCACTGTCACCAGTGGTGGAGGAACTGTATCAGCATCATCACCTTTTATGGTCTAAGGAAAAATCAATTAACAAAGGACTCAAAAGTAAAGCATAAATGTTGCTGAAAAGTCAAAGGAAATTTGCAGCCATAAATTGAATACTCAAAACAAAATTGTGTCAACAAAAATTGTAGCAGTTAAGATGACAATGGCATTGTACATACCATGCTGAAAGAAAGAGTAGGCAAGGGATTCTACTGTTCAGACAATCCTAATTCTCCTTGCTCTTGCATTTAAAAACAAGATTAGCACATAAAAGCTGGGTACAGCATATATCATGAGCTGGATCTTGAGACTTTAAGGAAATCACTCCATACAAGAAGATGACGATTACAATATTTTGAATGAATAATTTGGGTGGTATGTGGCTTCAGAAACTGGGAGAGAGGCAACACTGACTTTTTATTTTCTTTGTGTCATATTATTGATAAGCTCTATTGTTTGCACAGTATATTGCATTAATGTATCCATAGACAGTGTACAGCTAAGTCAGTACATTGCAGTATTTGAGCAGGTGTGTGTTTATGTAAAGGTAGCATCTGTTCCCTTCACAGACAAAGCATCATGAACTACGCCTGAAGAGTTCTGCAGTTCTGTGTACAAACCATCATCATCACCATCACTTGGAACAAGCATCAGCACAATTATACGCACTTTGGAAAAATGACAAAGAAGCGCATGTGAGGTACCAACAGTGTAAAGGTAATAGTGGCACTGGTTAATGATGGGCCAACTGGTGCACAGCTGTGATCCAGCTTGCTAGATTGATACACATGCATGAATACACATTTATATGGATACACATCTTTTTTGAGCTGGCTTTCAAAAAAAAAGCTGTTCTAACATCAATGTTATATTGAGGAGTCATTTGCCTCTTTACAAATGGATTTTTAAAGCATAATGGATTGTCTGAAGGAGCCAACATCAATATATGCATAGCCATTTACCAGGAGGAAGTCATGGAGCAAGAATTATAGTGTATTCTGGTGCTGACAACACGGAAACACCATTGGCATCAGCTATAGGAACTCCATTTTTTTTAAGCACATAAAAGGTATCATTTGAATTACATTTTATAATAGAAATTATTACTGGCTGAAAATAACTTGGAGAATGGTTGGTGACAACCACAAGAGAATCAAAAAAACTCAATTTTCTACACACTTGTACAGCAATGAAGAAATGATCTGACTTCTTGATATTTCTTTAAATTGATTTGTGGCACGTGGGCATCACTGGCTGGCCAGCATTATTGCCCATTCCTATTTGCCTTTGAGATGGAGGTGGTGAACTGTCTTCTGAAACTGCTGCAGTGCATGTGCTGTACGCAGACTCACAATGCTATATAGGAGGGAATTCCAGGATTGTGACTCAGCGACAATGAAGGAGCGGTGATATATTTACATGCCAGAGTGGATGGAGTACTGCAGAAGTGGACAGTTCACAAATATATATCTGTAATATCTTTAGTGGCCTTTATATATCTCTGATTATTGACAATAACATCAGTTCAGGTCAATACCTGTACCTCAACCAGCATGGCTAAAACAGATTTGGTCATTTATCTCACTGCTGTTAGTAGGAGTTTGCTCTACACAAACTGCTGTCTCGTTCTTAAATTGCATCAGTGACAGTACCTCAAAAGCACGTCATTGACTGTAAAGCACATTGAGGCATCCTGAGATTATGAAAGGCACTACATAAATGCAATTCAGTCTTTAGAATCCCTCTTCATCCTATTGATATCAGAAAAGTTGTGTTGAAGCCACGGTAAATGCATATTGAGCACAGTGGGCTAAATGGCCTGGGAGGGGATTATTGATATGCTTGGCCCAAGGTAATGCTGGCAGCTCACGACCTTTGTGTTGCCTGTCCATCTTAATTGTGATGTGCAGTCTACTGGTAAATGTACTGCTCAGCAGGCGACCCAGATTGCCTAATATGAGATTCAGCTAGCTGTACTTCTTAAAGTCAGCCTTCAACTCTTAAAAGAGCGATGCATTCAGACTGCAACAGCTGAGGAAATTCTATCCAAACACATTTTAGAGAAGGACTAATGCTATCAATGAAGCTATAGAGTCCTGGGTCTCTGGTGCAGACCCAGAGTGCAGGGGTTGGAACGGAGGGGAGACATCACCTTTACACTAGTAGCCAGGAGGCTCCCCAGGGGGAATGAATTGGGAGCAGCTCACCATGGAGGTCAATTCAAGCAATCCTACCCTGATGACCCGGTGCAATGCTGCAACATTTCCTATGGCCTCACACATGTAGTTAACGTCAGTGAAAGTATCTTGTGCCATCTCCCAGCCAGCACACCACCAACCTCACGCACAGCTCAATGCACCACATCCCAGCATCAGTTACCAACCATACATAAGATTCAGACCTGCCATCCTGCCATCAGATACTTACCAGTGCTGCCAGACTCTCACCTGCGCCTCTCAGATTCCACATGCTGCCAGCTATTCAACCCTGACGCATACATCTTAGAAATATTGTGCAACACTCTCACTGATTCTCTTCCCTCACCCTTGCAAGGCTAAGTCATACAAGAGGAGGCAGCATTGAAGAACTAAGGGCCGATTAAAATGCCAGCATCTTCTGAGTCCTTGGAGGAGATGGTCCTATGAATTATTAGGCCAGCAGAAGAGGCCCTTGCAAATGACACCACCAAGGTGATGACATTTGCCTGCCTTAATGATGCTTCTCAAACCCCACTTCACATTGCTCTCACTTTTATGATTCATGAATCAATCATCAAAGCCTGTTTCACCCAGTAACCATCCAATGGTTTGTCATGGTGACTCAAATGCAGTTAACATAATAGTCTGCTGCAGAATGAAGGCATTGACCTGCATGATTCTCTGTGTATGGTCACACATCAGTTGGACATCCAGGGAGTGGAATCCCATTCTGTTCTGGTACATCTTGAAGTTGACATTGAGTGCCCACAAAGTGACATGCGTGCAGTCAATGGAACTCCGTTTTATGGAAATGCCGTCCAGTATGGCAAGCTACACACGCTCTCCACTTGCTTCTCTGTGGCAAGGGAATGTGAGTGTAGTCAGCTCTCTTGGAATACAGAGCATTATATGACAGTGATCAGGAAAATCAAAGATGTTGCAAATATTGCCAGCTGCAGCCTGAAAGGAGCCTGATGTCTAAAGGTTCATGGCCCTAGGTCATATCCAGAGGCTGGTAATGCCATCTTGCCTTGCTGTGTGAATGTCGCTGTGATTGCATCAGGCAGCAAATTTCCCGGTAAGGAAATCCTTATTGAAGCAAGAACATCTGACTCAGTGTTCCTTGCTAAGGTCACAATAAGATAAATGTTCCCAGAACACTCTGTACAGATATGACCTCCAGCTAGGGATCCACTCCTCCTATCCAGCAGCTTATCCTGTTCTGTGCATTTGTGTTTACTCTTTTTGTCATGTTGTAATAAAACAATTGCAAACTACTACACCCATGACTGGGTGTAAATGATTCGTTTGGGTTCCTTGAAGTGAAGCCAAAATATTTCAGCACATGCTACTGCACCCCCCTGTAGAAATTAGCAACTTTAAAGAATTGTAAGAACCATACAATACTTTTCACAATCGCAACAACAGCCAGTATAAATCAACCAGCAACAAATCTTTAAATACCTGACACTTCCTTTAAAGATTGCTGGTTGGTTTGAGAGGATATGAATGCAAGCTCAGCTTTAAGACAGCATTCTGTTGAGATCCAAAATGGCAAAACTGCCAGTAAATGATTGAGGTCAAAATTTGCTGACTCTGCATAGCTGTGGTGGTTACTCCTGCACACATGGTAATGTCTTTGCCAAAGTGATATCTGGCATTGTTCACATCGTAGGTATGCACATATGTTACAAAGCAGTAGAAATATATGTAGTATCAAAATTATTATTGATTGATTTAGTACAATAGGCAACTTTACAAATGCATGTTAGTTTATTCTCTTTTATTACAGGTACAAACTTCAGCAATGTGTAGATTTATTTGGCCCAGAATTTAATGACTCTGTGGTTGCTGATGCTGTGGAACACACCAATGAAAACTATGGAGGTACGAACATCAAAGGGAGTCGGATAGTTTTCCCTAATGGTTCAATGGATCCCTGGCACATACTGGGAATTACCAAACAGCAAAAAGCTATTTACATTCAAGGTAATGAAACTGTAGATATGAAATATATTGACCTAGCGTTTTCGTTAGTTTGCACTATGTTTTAGCAGCAAAAACAGCCAAACAAATGCAAAAGATTACAAATGTTCAGATGTGAGTTGCAATCAGAGTAAATCAAGTTTTCTTGACATTTAGCACTGGTTTAAAAATCATTTTGCTGAACTCGAGCCCCATCCACACAGCTGGCAATGTCTCCAGAACAAAATCACAAGAATGATTAGTTTCAGCTCACACAACCCATTGTGGTCTATTAAATAAGTTCTTCAAATTGAGCCCATTTTCTTAGGTGCACATTAGTAGGAATATTCTAAATATTTTTAGATACTAAAAAGTATTTAATTTACAATGAAACTGACAAGTAAATGGTTCAATACATCTTTTCATAACATTTAAAATTAGGTTACTCACAGATAGTGAAAATGACACCCAACTAAAAATGGGATAAATTCAACATGTTAATCGAACTCCTCTGGTTTCCACTATTAAAAACATCAATCTATAGTTTTAATATAGAGAAAAAATGATGACGTTGTTAAATTTGCCAATTACATAGATCTTTGGAATATTTTATTTTTGATCAGACAAATAGGTTGTAGTGGAAATTTGAACTGAAACCTAACCAGTCCAATTTCATGTGCAATATATGTCCAAAATGGAAACCATCCCATTTATGAAACCAGGGACCATTTAGTAGTAGACAGATTGTAACAATAATTGTGAGTACATGGAGGAGATGCTAGCTCTTATATTCTGGTGTTTTCCATCAACTGGGATTCCGTAAGACTGTCCTGTCCCTTATTTTGCTCCTTTCTCATATCATTAATTTTTCCACTCTCTAATCAACAGTTCTGCACATTAGTGAGGGAGTATTTAGTGAGTATTAGTGAAGCTGTATGTGACGTATTTCATTTGGAAAGACGTCCTACCTCACTAAGGCCCATTGTCAAATAAATGTAAACAATCACAAGGCACTCTCCTAGGAGTGCCTTGGGCCAACATTCAACTCTAAACCAATTCTTAAAATAGATGACCTAGTAATTCATTTCATTGCTGTTTGTGAGAATTGGCAGCTGCATTTCCTAAATTGTAATGGTGGGCAGAATTTTACAGACCCCTCTGGTAAGTGTGCTGGAAGGGGACAAAAAATTACTTGGGTGGCCTTTCCTCACACCCTGTCTAAAATTTTACAGCGACTGTATGAGGTGTAGTGCAGTCTGCTTGTCCTTAGCCCAATTGAAGACCTTACATGGATAATATTGGCTATTTAAGAGCTGCTTTTCACCCTGTTTTTTTTATATAGTCATGGGAGGAGTCCATTGAGAAATTTTATCAGGCATTGATACATTTCCCAATAAATGAGACTGCTGCGATTTCGGTTGAGGAGAGGGGGTGCACCTCCATAACTGGCTCCTTTCCCAATGCCCCAGCTTCTAAAATTTGCAAGCCCCCACACTGCTGCCATCCTTCGGTGTTGTCTCCCCCACTTGGATATGCATGACAATCAGCAGTCTTCTTTCCCCACCTATTCAGATCGTTGAGGTTCTGGCTTTTAGACCCATGTACACTCAGCAATAGGCACCACACAAGTTAGTTCTGTTAAGATGACAGAACTGTTGGCCAGTTAATTTGGCAGAAACGTCTCTGAGGTGGGACTTCCTGATAAGTGAGGGATGAAATGCTATTCTCATTAAATGATCTTCTATGGAGAGTTAAATGACTGTGGGACAGACGAATCAGCAGGAACACATTTCCTGCTAACTTTTCAGGTGGTGGGATCGGAAATCCTGCAATTGGAAAATTTTGCTCAGTGATCATACTTCATTGGTTACAACATGTTTTGGGTTACCTTCAGGTGTGATTTATGTGCAAGAATTTTTTTCCTATGTTTATTTTGCTATAGATTCTATCATACATTCATAAATCTCTTTCAGATTGCAGAACCTTAGTATACATACTCTCATCAGCTGTCAGAGTATTAATGCCTTTGGTCATTTTCAGTTAGGCAATGCTTGAGATTTTCAATGGCTGATAACATTCCTAATACGTGCCTGTACTTTTTTGAATGTGATACATTTATGTATGTACTTTTCATCACAGTATTGAGAAGTTACTAAACCCAGAGCACACTTTGCCAACTCATCTAACAATGTAGAAATTTTCCAAATAACTGCTGTGAAGCACTAGCTGCGAAGTTCACCATTTTCCATTGATGTACTTAGCCTTACACCCAGGATAAGCATAAAGCAAGGGCAGTCATGCAGATGAGGCTGTGGAAGATGTATTATAAACACCATAAATATCATTTTAGAAATATATTTTAATCAATATAACCAAACCAGAAAGGTTCACTTGACCAAGATTTCAAGTTCTAAGTCTTTTACCTGCACAAATAAACTAAAACTAACAATGACTAATCACTAAAATGAAAGCAAAATACGGGAAAGCTGAAATGAAAGCAGAAAGTGCTGGAGAAACTGAGTTAATATTTTGAGTCCAATATATTGTTAACCTTGTTTATTTCTGTCTCCATAGATACTGCCAAACATGTTGACTTTCTCCAGCACTTTATGGTTTGATTATATTGACTAAAATGATTTCATAAGGCAATATAACTCTAAACCACAGAAAAGTTTCCCCATGTGACTTTTAAATCACCTAAGATGCCCTCTGCATGGTTATACTTTACTCTGTCTTTGAAGTGACACTTCATTGTCCAGAAACCAGTCCAAACCTATTCTCAGCACCTGACGGCTTGCTTCATTTTTCCTTTTCTACTTGAGTAGCCTGTAACCCTTTCACCTTCCAACTTAAAGGTTACCCTGGAAATCCCTCCCTCTAGAAAAAGCTAGGTGAATCTTTCAGTCTCATTTAAATACTCAAGAACTTAGTCTGTGCAATTTGAACACAAGCTCCCACTTAATATTCTGTGTGATGAACAATAGATACTGGCTGCCTCCATCTCTTTTAGAACTATTAAACAATATCAAAATGGTGCTATAAGTTGTTGCTTTTGTGTTTAAAGAACCTTAAGCCATTACTTAAATGTAGAACAACATATTAAGGTTATCTGCATGAATTTCCACTGTGTTCTTTCATCAACTATTTATTGAATTCTCCAAGGATTAAGAGTCGATTCTTGTTACCACTAATCCATTTTCAAGGCACTAAATTTTCTTATTCTCTGCTAAATGAATACTTTACAAACTCTTTGGTTGATGAATGATTATGTACAATCACCAAATAAGATGATTAACTACTGAAGATTAAATACTGGACAGCAACATCATTCATAACAAATTGTTTGAAGTTTTACCTTTCAACAGAACATATCTATTTCTTATTAAAAGTGGGAATGAACAAGCAATTATTGTTCCCAGATAGTTTCCTTATTAGCCAAGAATGCTTTTGTTTTATCCATGAATTATAAGTACATAAACTATGCTGATTAATACTCCTGTTGAAGGAATGACATCTATTTTAAAAGATTTAGGTATGCAATGAAAATCTGTAATGGTGATTTTCATTTCTGTTATTATGTGTCCACTGAAATGTGATTTCTTATTTTATAAATCTTAATCTGTTATTTATTCTTAATCAATATAAAATGGTTGCTGGTAATCCTCAACTTGCAAACATGAAATGCCATTTGACAGCTATTCAGCACTTGACTGTTGTTAGTGTGTTCAACTTAATAATTTTTGACATGACTAAATAGGTCAAATCGATTATTGCCCTATATTCATTTCTTTGCAATATACACAGCACTATCACAGTAGTTGGTTATATCTTCAATTAGTCTGCCTTTTTTTTGAAGAAAGTAGATTATTTCAAGACTTGACAACGTGCCAGCATTCACTTACAAATTTTAACAGTACCTGAAGGAGAATACCAACCATTTACTTCCAGTCATGTCAGGCAACATCTGAGTAGATTACTATTCGAACTCAATTGGCATTGATATCTTGGAGTGTCGGTGATCGCAGTGTCAGAGAGGACAGTCCTTTTCCAGTCAACTGCCATAAGAAGCCCCACGTCAATGCTATGTCTTGGGTGGAAATGAACACCCAGCAGGATCAAAGAAGGCGTGAGACAACAAGGTGTAGCGCTGGATGAACACAGCAGGCCAAGCAGCATCATAGGAGCAGAAAGGCTGACATTTCGGGCCTAGACCCTTCTTCAGAAATGGGGGAGGGGAAGGGGATTCTGAAATAAATTGGGAGAGGGGGGAGGCGGATAGAAGATGGATAGAGGAGAAGATAGGTGGAGAGGAGACAGACAGGTCAAAGAGGCGGGGATGGGGCCAGTAAAGGTGAGTGTAGGTGGGGAGGTAGGGAGGAGATAGGTCAGTCCAGGGAGGACGGACAGGTCCAGGGGGCGGGATGAGGTTAGTAGGTAAGAGATGGAGGTGGGGCTTGAGGTGGGAGGAGGGGATAGGTGGGAGGAAGGGCAGGTTAGGGAGGCGGGGACGAGCTGGGCTGGTTTTGGGATGCAGTAGGCGGAGGGGAGTTTTTGAAGCTTGTGAAGTCCACATTGATACCATTGGGCTGCAGGGTTCCCAAGCGGAATATGAGGTGCTGTTCCTGCAACCTTCGGGTGGCATCAAAAGAAGGCGTAGGGCCATGATCTTGTCTCTGCCACCTCACACTCACAGGACCACTCTAACTCTACTCTATTAAAGTGCTACCAGTGAGTTATTTCATTAATGCCAACTGACTTGGAATGGTAACATACACACGTCTCCCAAAGGCTCTCAGAATTGTATGCATCAGGACCATTCAACAGCTCTCACCCATCTCAAACAGCTAGCCCTTCTTGCCTTCTGTCTTTCTACTCACTCACTGGGAATACCTCATTACCTTTCCTGCTCGTGTATTATTGCTAACTGCTCTTCCATCCACTTTCATTATTATCAATCCCTCCATTTATCTAATTGCAGCAAAACTTGGCCCATCCTGACCTCTTCAAGGTACCCTGACTGACCTAGCTGCAATCATTGCACTACTTGCCCATGACCTCCAGGACTGACCATAGCCTAATTCCTGAACTGCAAGAACAGATTTCCAAACTCTGGTAGCACCAAGTGTAATGCAATCAGACGAGCCCCTTGATTGACTGTGGCTGTAATGTGTCTCCTTTTGCACATTAAGAACTGCTTTCCCTTAGCTTTCACACATCACCAATTACATGCAGTGTGTTTGCCATGTGAACAGTTGGCACATGCTCTAAGTATGACATTGACGTAGCATGGTGCTGCACAACAACATGGCCACCCATGACCAATAGATTAACTTGTTCAATGCATACTGCCTGCATCTCACTTAGTGCTAAAAAAAACAATACAAGCTACAGAGATGGCAGCCTGTAACTGAGCACTTAAAGACCTTGTTCACTAAGAAACCAACATAAAGCACAGAAGGAGTGCAGTCTGAGAGACAATCCTAAAGTCAGTGAGTTTGTGCTAAGAAAGCAATGAGGAATGTACACAGGTTGACAGCCTCCAGTAAATGGTAATGTAAGTGAACTCTAAGAAAGCAAGGTGAGGCCATGAATTGCGTCATGTGCAGGTACAGAGATGCATGAGGGGGCCTGCACACTAAGCAACTGAGCAGCAGCATGCAGTTCAAAGGCAGCCATGAGCTCCAGGGTATAGTGTTGAAGGCTGGAATGGTGTCTGAGTTGTTCTGAGAGCAGGCATGATAATGTGGTGAAGCTGGTGGTTTGCTGATGCCAACTTGCATGCATGAATGGTTAAGAGAATGGTGGCCAAACAGCCTACAGGAATGTTGTGATAAAGAAGCAGTTGGACGATGGCCAGAACAAGCATTCAGCAAGCTGTGGCCACCAGGTATCTGCTTGATTTAAATGTCAAGAATTTGTGCTGTCTAGTTAGATTTGACTCAATTTATTGTTGTCATGCACTAAGATACAGTGAAAAGTTTTGTTCTGCATGCTATCCAGACAAATCATACCTTACATAAGTACATCAGGGTAATAGAACAGAATGTAGAATATAGTGTTACAGCTACAGTGAAGGTGCAGAGAACGATCTATTATTGTTTTATTCATTCATGGGATGTGGACATCACTGGCCAGCATTTATTGCCTGTCCCTAGCTGTCTTTGAGAATGTGGTGGTGGGCTGCCTTCTCAAACTGCATTTGATGCAGGTACACACAGTGCTGTTAGGGAGAGAGGTCCAGGATTTTGAAGGAACGGTGATGTATTTCGAAGTCAGGATGCTGTGTGGCTAGGAGGGCCACTTGCAGGTGGTAGTGTTCCCTTGTACCTTGCTATCTTTTTAGATGGTTGTGGTCATGGGTTTGGAAGGCACAGTCTAAGGAACCTTGGTGAATTTCTGCAATGCATTTTGCAAATGGTACGCACTGCTGCTACTGAGTGTCAGTGGTGGACAGAGTAAATATATGGAAAAAGGTAGTCACCACTCAATGGCAACATTCTCAATTCACCATTTATGGCCTGAGGGGTAAGTCCAGAAAATTTACCGTTGATCAATCTTTTTCATTTGTCCATAGTTTATCAAATTTGTTGTCAGCACTCATGCCACACCAGGGAGGGGAATAATCTGCCTAATGTTTCTGTTGAAGCTGATACCAAAGTCTGATAGTATGTCAATATCGAGTAGTAGTCATGACAATGGATCAGATCCCCAAAATACTGTAGACATTCTTAAACTTCAATTTTAAAATGTGTTTTATTAGAAAAAAAAGGACTGCTCCAGACAAAGAAGGAGAATAGATGTAAATTCAGTCACTATCTGGCAACATCCTGTTTGGAATGGATAGAATGTTAGGGAACCTTTCAACTAAGAGAGAAGAGATATCGCCAGAGCTGACTGCCTTCCCTCTCTCAGCAGAAAACCACCTCTTGCAGGCATTTTACTTTCCATGAATATACAAAATAAGGAGTAAAAATCAACTGCCATCCAGATCTGTATGTGCTACTGGGGAAGGAAATCCGTCATTCTTACCTGTTGGCCTGCACGTGACTCCAGGTCTAGAGCGTTTGACTCTGAACTGTCCTCAGAAATGATGAAATAAGCCATTCAATTCAAGGGCAATTAGGGATGAGCAATATCTCCTATCTCATGAAAGGACAAAGAAAAATATGTTCAAAGAAATGATTAGTTGAAGAGCATGAAAGAAAATGTTTTTGATTTTGTTTTTTTTAAAATCCTAAGGACTGATTTGATGTACCTAACAAAATACCTGTAAGGTATAAATTGCACATTGTACAACTTATAAAAATGATCAGTTGTTGGTGAATTCAATCAGGCAGTTGGTGGCTGTTTTACAATTAGCTAGTTATCATTAATTTTAACAAAGATCATTGACATTACACTAAGGAGTCTATATGTGTATGCAGGATATACTTGGCATGTTCTTAAAAGCAATAAATATAAGTGAGGGTTTTATGAAAAAACAGTGCACATAAGCCAGTTTTAACAGGGTTTTCATTTTTGAATGTTTTCCTTTATTACCCAGGTACAGCCCATTGTGCGGACATGTATCCGGAAAAACAAACTGATGTACCAGAACTCACTAAAGCAAGAGAAGAAATTTTTCAACGACTCAAAACCTGGATTAACGGATGAAGTCTTTTATCTATGTGAGAATGAAACTTATTAAAAGGATTCAGAACTTCAGGAATTAGCTGTATTTTTTTCCTTGATAGTATAAAACATCAAGAACAAATCCGAGTTACATTTTTCTCTCCAAAATTTGTTAATGCAATGTCTTTCTGTATAAACTGTATTATTACTGGTAATCATATATTAAAATGCTTTTCGCAATATATCTTCTAACCATATTGATTTATGGTTTAGTCAGAAGAATAAGTGTTAACCTATACTTGCAGAATTCTACAAGTAAAGAAACTCAACATTTCAAATTGTAAGCGTGTGCTATTGTACTATTGTACATTTTTTACAATTGAGTATTTTGCGTTTAAGGAATTCATGTTGACCCAATTAAGATGGTATCATCAAAGCCCCAGATGGGAGATGTTAACATTATATATGGTCCTGGAGATCATTTGACTTCCTGCCTAATGAAATGAAATCTTTTCTGTGTAGATGAAGTGAAATCTAATGTGGCTTAATTATTTCCAGGTGATCAGTACTTAAAGTACAGGAAGAAAAAATGTGTAGATGCTCAAGTAACCATTGGGTACTGGCATTTAGGAAAAAGTGATGTATTAGAGTTAATATTGAATAGATGCTTCCACTGCAGCTGAAAAAGTCATCTTCCAGTTCTAATTCTGGAATAACTTGTAGAGCCAAGGTTGACAAATAAAATCATTTTTACAATTTTTTTTCTTCTGAGAGGTACTCCACCATAAGTACTTATTGAAGTTGATCGTTTAAAAAAAATTCAGACAATTGTGACTTAAGTGTGTATAGTCAAATGAGAGGAATGATTCTGGCATCATTTGGACACCACTATTCAAGCATTGTACCAGGGATTTTCTCTTGAAATCCATACAAAATATCATATAAAGGTAAGATGCAATTTTGGACTCTGAAAGTATTAATTACATTGTAAATGATATTTGCTTTCCTATTGTTTGAAAGCTCCTATGGATCTACTATAAATCAGAGCATATAAGTTGATCTAACATAAGAGACAACCCAATTTTCTGGCAGTAAATTTAGATTTTGCGTGTGCATGTGAGTCAGTACTGTGTTTCAGCCATGACATGTTAGGGCTTGCTTAGATCAGGCTTTTACTGTACCAAATTTTAAAAAATGAATTTGTTTAGATCCTCAGTTTGGACCTATCCACAAGCTGTTGAGATGAGAGATTGGTTTTCAATGACTAAAGAGAAAAGAATTGAAATTCCAACCTATTCAATCTGAAACTTTTCACAGCATGGGACTTCGATGTCTCAAGCTATGCCAGTGAACGTGAGATTAGTTCCAATTAGTACTCTAAGTCGTGGCTTTTGGCGGGATTGTTACATTAAAATGTTCTCCTCATGTTGGTGGGAAATTGCTTCTGTAGGTCTTAAGTGTAAGTGGACAATGATTATTATAGTACATAGGTTAAAGTACATAAGGTGATTGAAGACATAGAGACAGCCAGGTCAACAATTCCAAAGGGAAAGATCAAGGTGAGAGGTCATAGGCGGAGCAGGAATAAGAGAGAAAAGTTCTGCTGTGCAGAGATAACTGCTGGACAATGAAGCAGAATCAATGGTGATGAATGATAATCACAATTTGTGACCTTTCTCTTTAGCAGAATCAACTCTCATTATTTTGGAGTTGGCCTAACCCACAGCCCCATTTCATCTTTCACTTCATCTGGTACTTCAACAAAAAAGTTTTTTTCTTTCAGCTGCCAAAAGATCTCAAACTACAACAACATCTCTTGGGTTAAATTACTACTCCAGATCCATCTTCTTCACTTTCGTCATTCAAATCTCACCTTTTGTCATAATTTCATTATTCTCTCTGAGCATTTCTTCTCCGATCCTTTTATTTCTTCAATTAATCTTATGCCAAGCAGAATTTCTTTTTAATTCACTCACAGGACATGGGTGCCACTGGCTTAGCCAACATATATTGCCCACACCTAGTTCTCCTTGAGAAGATGGTGATGAGCCGCCATCTTGAACTGCTGAAGTACATTGTGAATGTCATCAGAAGTTTGTAACTTCTGCACATACCTACAATTAATTTTTTTTCCCTTCATTAATCCCTCCAGAAGCCAATATTGGAAGCTGTCTTGGGTTCCTTCAGCCTCTCTTTGACATCCCTCAGTTTCTGGAAAGTCTCCTTAATGGTTTTAAACCATTCAGGACTTATTTCCTTCTGCCTTGAGTCTTAGAGTCTGCTAACTGCATTGAAACCTATTTGAGGTGAGACATGTACAAACTGGGTGAGTTGCACCTGTACAAAGTCCAGATCATCAATTTGTAAGGGAAGTTTGATCGTGTAATAAGAGACAGTTTAAGCTAGCTTGGCAGGAAGGTAGAAACTTGAGCATTAGCTTGAAAGGAATAGAAGGAAATAGAAGGCTGAAAATTAGTGAGTATGGATGGCTGAGGAAACAATGTTTAGGAAGGAGACAGAGGATCTGTTGGGTGATGAGTGGTAATAATTTCATTTCAAAGTGTCAAGTGCATTTACAACTGAAGACCTACAGTCAGTGCCAATGGAACCAGGAACAGGAACATGGTGGATCCCTGACCAAAGGTGGGTGGGGGCTGGTTGTGGGCTAGGGTTTCAAGGAGAGAGGGCTGTGGGGGGTTTCAGGAAGTAGTAGGGCAGTAGTTTTTGGTGCCATCACCCCCTCCTCTCCAGTGCCAGGTTCTTCAATCTGGGAATAGAGTGCATGATAATGATAGACCTCTGACAAACCTGGCATGCATGGGAAAATTGCACTGTTCCTATTAGATCAATGAGGCACCTCTAAACTGTGGTAAGCTCAGGGATAATAGGTGTCAACTTGCACATTAATGAGCCTAATTGAAATTTTGCTCTTGTTGACTGGGAGTCTGTGTCAGACCCTTCTGCCCTCTGACTTAAATAGGGATGGTTTTCCCACAGATGCCAGGCCTATCCTGTGATTAAATGGGCCCAATTACATGTGAAGTGATAAATATATATCCAAATACATGCACCTATCTGGTCACTGAGGTCAATGCCAAGTTAAGTAGTGGAAATCATTTGGTGCTTTTTTTTGTGGCACCCCAGAAGGGAAATCTCATCCTGGCTACAAACCCAACAAAATAGTGTGAATAGTTCCTGTGTTAACGACATGACTGAGTGGAGTCCTAGCAGTTTCACCATATTACAGACAGTTGACATTATGAGAGTAAGAGGCATACAAACAGAATATGAAGTTAGAGATGGACAGGCTGACAGGGTCAATGGCAACAGTGTAAATAGTATTGTGAAACAAAAGTGTAAAAAGCGAATCCAGAATTAAAAAGGGAATCCAGGAGTAACTAGTTAGAGAGACAAAATAAACAAGCAAACAGAACAAAGGGAAGGGACCAGTCATTGGATCTGTCAAGCTGTTAGAGGTAATATTGTAAAGATTCATACACTGAAATGAGAAAATATTGATTTTGGTAGCAGTTCCAAGTCTTTGTCAACAGGGTTTCTTGTTTCTGCAGTAACTGACTACTCAAATATATTCCAACTCTGCTCCAATTTTGTTTTGCCTGTCAGATTGCACCCTTCTGATGGCAGTCCATTGCAAAATACCTCACAGTAGTGCCATGGTAGTTATGTGGTTCCCAATTATTTTTTCTGCCTCTACCAAGCTCAGTTCCTATACTCCAGTCATTCATTGTTTGCTTAGTCTTTGTTACTTGAGTTTCCCATTTTGTTTATAATGACAGTGTTGTTTTCATTCCAATCTGTATGTCGAGGTTTCTCTATAATTCCCACAAAAGTTGTGCAAGACCACTGTTAATTTTTTTCAGGTTACTGTAGTTGTCTACATTGGTTGTGTGTTTAAAATGACAATAAAAGTACATGTTTAATTTAATCAAAGCTGATTCACAGCAAGGCCCTGTGTGCTGAGGATTTTATAATCAACATGACAAATATAAATATTTTTAAATGGTTAAAAGATTTTAGGAGACATTTGAAAGTAAATTCAAAATTTGTTATCATATCATATGTTTTAGCTACTACTGGACCTACTTCTAATCTGCATTCAACATAACCTGCCAGTCATTACTGTAGATCCCAGAATCACAGAACTGTTATGGTGCAGAAGAAGGACATTCAGCCCATAGTGTCTGCATGGGCTCTCAGTATTTTATCTTAGTGCCAATCTCCTACCTTTTTCCCATAACCTGCATTGTTTTTATTTAGCTAATCATCCAATGAGCTCTTAAGTACCTCAATAAATGCTTTGAATACCCCAAATCCCCCACTATCAACATCCTGGGGGTTACCATTGACCAGAAGCTCAACTGGACATGCCACATAAACACAGTGGCTGCAAGAACAAGTCAGAGGCTAGGAATACTGCAGTGAGTAACTCACCTCATGAATCCTCAAAGTCTGTCCACCATCTAAAAGGCAGAAGTCAGGAGTGTGATGGAATACTCCCCATTTGCCTGTATGAGTGCAGCTCCAACAACACTCAAGAAACTTGACACCATCCAGGACAAAGCAGCCTGCTTTACTAGCACCACATCCACAAGCATCTATTCCCTCCACCACTGTGGTCAGTAGCAGCAGTGTGTACTATCTACAAGATGCACTGCATAAATTCACCAACGATCCTTAGACAGCATCTTCCTAACCCACAGCTACTTACATCTTGAAGAACAAGGGTATGGGATACGTGGGAACACCACCACTTGCAAGTTCCCCTCTAAGCCACTCATCATCCTGACTGGAAATATATCGTCATTCCTTCACTGTTGCTGGATCGAAATCCTGGAATTTTGTCCTTAAGAGTATTATTGGTCTACCTACAGCACATGGAATGCAACAGTTCAAGAGTGCAGCTCACCACCATCTTCTCAAAGGCAACTAGGGATGGGCAAGAAATGCTGGCCAACCAGCAACGCCCAAGTCTCACAAGTGAATAAAAGAAATTTACACAAAAATTGAACCTGCCTCCACTACTTTCTAGGCATCAGGTTCCACATCCTAACTGTTTCTTGGATGAGAAAGTTCTTTCTCACTTCGCATTTGCTACTTTTACAAACCACTT